AACAGACTTAATCTATATTTATAGATTCTTATTCCAAGAACATGTGCAGCCACTCCCATGTATTTTACTAAGAGAACTTCCTGAATTTCTCGAACTCCTTCGAGCTGTATTTTACTCCCACTGTTCTTCTTGGAAAAAAATTATCTTTCTAGAGAAACACCACTACAATCAACAAACACTTTATTCTCAGTGGGATTTTAAAAGTAAACACAGATTTTTTTTTAAAGTGTATTCCTAAAAGGATAATGGAAGATCTGTATGACTCATCATTGACCAAACGATATCTAATAAAGTTTGGTTTCTCCTTCCAGATACACACCATTCAACTGTCGTGTTCCCGGAGAAGTGAGTTGTGAAACAATTCTACATTCTCTCAGATGATCATTAAACACTTGACTCAAATATTCTCCACTCCGATCAGATCGAAGATCTTTTATTTTATTGTCAAGCTGGTTTTGTACTTCATTCTGAAAATATTTGAACCTTTCAAAAGTTTTAGACTTATGTTTCTACATAAACATAACTATGAAGTACTAATAGTTCCTTTAACATTTGTACTCATTGGTCTACATACATCAGTATGTATAATTTCAACAATTCTTTTATCTCTTTCACTATGTCCAGTAAGAGAAGCCTTAGTCATTTTACCCTAAGCAAGATTCACATTTCTCATATGATTCATAATCAAATGAGCTCAAAAGTCCATCACCATGAAGCTTTTGATGTGCTTCTCACTTATGTGGCCCAAACTACAATGTTAAAGAAAAGCTTAATTCTTGTCATAAGACTTGAATCTTTTGGTACTAATGTTATAACCATGCACGCTTTGGTTTAGAATATAAAATATATTCTCTAATAGACCTCAACTATAAAAGATATCACAATGATCAAATAAACAACATTTGTCTTTTAATCAAAATGAAAACCTTCCAAATCCAAACAATTGAATAATATTTCTGCTTATAGCAGATACATAGTAGCAGTTCTTAGTTTCCAAAATCATGCAAGAAGACAAAAACAAATGAAATACTCCTACAGCTAATGCAGCAACTCTTGCTTCATTTTCCATGCGAAGGTCCACTTGTCCTTTCTCCAAGACTCTATTGTTCTTTAGGCCCTGCATATTTCTACAAATATGAGTACCACAATTGGTATCAAATACCAATGAAATAGAATCATAAATAGTAACATTTACTTTTATAACATAAATACCTGAAGATGACGTTTCATAAATCTTCTTCTTTTTCAGATCTTCCAAGTATTTTTCACAGTTTCTTTTCCAATGTCCAGAACCATTACAATAATGGCACTTATCAACATTTGAAGGACCATGCTTAAACTTAGGAGAAGGATCAAGCTTGCTTGGATTCGCATTCCAGCCTGGCTTACCCTTTCCTTTGTTCTTACCTTGTTTCTTAAACTTGTTACCCCCCTTGTACCATAAGAACATTTGGAGTATCCTTCTTGATGTTAGGTTCAGCTGTTTTAAGCATCCCATGCAGCTCAGTCAAAGTCTTTGTCAAGTTGTTCATATTGTAATTCATAACAAACTGATCATAGCTTGACGACAATGACTGTAGGATGAGATCAGTCGCCAACTCTTGGCTGATAGGACAATCCAACTTAGCCAAGTTATCAATATAACCCATCATCTTAATGACATGCGGGCTAACTGGACCATCTATTGGTAGCTTGCACTCAATGAGAGACTTAACCGTTTGGTATCTATCAGTTCGAGCTTGCTCCTGAACATACCTTTCAGGCTAGTGATCATGTCAATTGGTGAATCCACGTTCTCGTATTGCTTCTGCAAATCCGAGTTCATGGTTGCCAACATAAGACAACACACATCGACCCTATCACTGACATGTTTGTCATAAGCAGTTCTTTCAGCATGTTGGACATTGGTCTTAGGTTTTTTAGTAAGAACCTTTTCTAGGACATAGTCCTTTTTCTCCTGCTTGAGAACAATTCTCGAATTTTGATACCCTTTAAGGAAATTCGTTCCATTCAATTTATCCTTCTCAAGGACAGATCGCAATGAGAGCGAATAGTGGGAGTTGTCATTTCTGGAATAAAAGAATAGGGAGTGTTAATATGATGTTCATGAATTGAGAAATCTCAACAATTAAGAAAACTCATATTATACTCAAACATTTTCCTCAAATGAATATAATAATCCAAGATCTACATTTCACTAAAATCCGAGTGAGCTTTGGCTCATCGCCCAAATTCTAACTATTTAGGTAAGCAACACTTTGCTAATTATATCCAATATAATTCTTGGTTGTCAAACGACATCTTATGTCTTATCCAACCTATGTCTCTAAGACCAAAACCGTTTTGATAGCCTAGTCAAGTAAACCAATATTGTTTCACATGGTAACTGTTACCATCCACCTCACTCATGTAATTGCAGATACCTTGCTTTGGCAAGCCCATCTTACAATGAAACAAGCGTTGATGGTTGATAAGATTGGGTAGACATTAAAAATACTTGAAATTCATTGAGGAACAAATTTTAATTCAATCTTAATTTATATTTAAACTTATATCTAATATATAAAAATAAATATAACTTATACATATCTTATATGTATTTTGATTGAATTATAAATAATTAACTAATTTAATCTAATTAAATTATTAATTATATAATTATAATTAATTTTGATATACTAAATCTTAATCAAATTAGGATTTAAAATAAAATTAAAAATAAAACTTTCTAAAAGTCTGAAACTCAAGAAGAACACACGGTTCTTGTTAGAAACCAAAGGATTGGTTTCAGCATAAACCAAAACGTATAGTTTCGATACGAGATTTAGAAAAATACAATTATTTATCAAAATCAAACACATACTAAAAGATTTATGCAATATTATGTTTATCAAACTTCCAATTATTTACGAACACATGCACATATCAACGATTTCATATATATACTTTTATCAATTCATATAAGAAGTAAACTTTACTATAATGCATGTATTAAATGTAAATAATATTCGCACTAGCTAAAAGTACGGAACATTCAAGTTTGGAAGCAAAAACATGTGGTGTAAATTATTAATCGATTACATTTAATCTATTATAATAATTCATACGATCACATCAATGATACTATTATGAACACAAACATATCGACTTAACAAGTTGCAGGAACCGTAACTTTATATATCATTATATAAAAGCGTCTGTTCTAGTTGTTTTAAAACATTAATATGAATCAACGAATGTATCAAATACATTCACAAACTATATTCATCTAAATTCAGTTTCAATATTATGCAACTAGACTTTGATACCACTGTAGGAATTTATACCGGTTTATAAAGATTTATAAAACAACTTATGAATTCTATTTGTCTAAAATCTTTTGCAAATACTGAAATAAATCTTAAATCTCAAGGGTTTTCAAATATACATGGTTATTCGCAGCGGAAATATGAATAAACCAAATCAAGATCTTTAGCACTGCAAACGTCGTGCCTCTACCGGTATCCATACGCACACAAACTGAATCTAGACGGGATGCTAGTGCCGTTGAGATCAAATCTCGAAACTTGACAAACTCCTTTGCCTTAGGGTTTATATTTCACGCCGTAAAGTTTTGTGTTATACAAAACATTATTCACATCCTCTTTTATAATCAGCATTATAAACGTGATTTGAGTATTGTGGGCCAAGCCCAAATCATAAGGAGGTGCACACGTTCATTAACGTGTTATGTATGTTTATCATATGTTTATATTATATACATTATATAATATTAAATATAAAACCTAAATAGATATGTATTTATGATCCAGTTTGCTGAGGTGTGTGACCATGTAGGATCATATAAGATTAGTAATGAATTCATAATTCATAGATTATGAGCGGTTTCTAGCAAAACATTATAACCACCTAATCTTATACGATTGTCAAATCTCGACGCTACGACTTCTACTAGAGTAAATACAAATGATTTTAGGACATTTCCAACAATATATGGCAGTGATATAAAATCAGTTTTTCTCCTTCAGGCAGTGATATATATGGCAGGTTTTCCTCCTTGCATTCCTCTAGCCTTCAAGTTTTTCTTAACCGCTATACATCTTTACACTGATATATATGGCATGCAGTGTTTTGAAATCCGACCGCGACCCGCGGTTGAACCGGTAAACCCGGTGTCCCAGAATAAATCCGGTTTGTGTTTTGTGAAAGAGCCAAGATTTAAAAACCCGCTAAAACCTACAAAAACTCACTAAAACTCAAAATCCGGTATCGGTTGAACCATTAGATTAATTTTACTCTTTTTAAAAAAAGTTTTAAAATATGTTTTTAACTTTTTACTTTTTTAGATTTTTTTAAAAAAAATTCCAATTAAAAACTAGGTTTCTTTCAGTTTTACTGCCGTTTTCTTTTTGTTATAGATAATTTATTAATGATTTTACTTTGGATTTGAAGTTTAATTTTATTATTAAAATTAGACATAAATATATATGAATTTATAAGTCTTGATTTTTTTTTTAGATGTCAAAAATCTTAACTTGTTACAATAGTTTAAAAATAATCTAAACTATTTTCAGTATTTTGTATGTCAAATGAAAATATATTAACTAAAATTAAATATTTTCTAAATTTTTTTGAGCATAAAATATATACATCTCCAAACAATTATTTTATGTTTAATAAAAATAGAAAATAGTTATTTTTAGTTTATATATATTTATTTTTATAAGTAATATAATATTATATTATAAATCTAACTCATTTATCAACTCGTGGTTCACCCATAGTCGATCCAATGACCCGGACAGTCATTCAGTTCAGTGTTCAAGTCGGTTTTCAAAAACACTGATGGCAGGGCAGTTGGTGAAATATTCATGAGCTATTTTTTTATTTTATTTCTTTGGTGCACCATATTCATGAGCTATAAATAAACCTTGTTACTCCCCCATTCTCAAAGGGCGTTTGGTCATAAGTTGATAACAACAGAGAAAGAGATCTATTTGCTGAAATATTCATCGGCTTGCTGCTTTCAGTGAAATGCGCACGGTCCAAGCTAACTCTAAACGACACGTTGATACAAGACTCATTAAGCACAATGTCTTTCCCTTTCACTGTACCTTTAAATCCACATTTGATTATTTACAAACTGTGAAAGTGGCTAGGCATCTATTGGCTATTTAAAGGGTGGGTCAAGAGCAAGACTCCAGAGTCCGCACGAAGAAAAGAATCACACAAAAATACTAAACGAGATAGGAACTTGGAATCATGACACTAGAACTGCACAAGGATTCATTCATTCTTTTCTTTTGCCACATGATGGGATGTTTGAGTAGCAGTAGGCAAGTCTCAATGTTTCCCAATTGCATCACGTTTTATAGACCAGTAGTACATTATTTCTGGCTAAAACCAAGTATCAGATGATCCTGCATCATTTACCATAATTAATAAACGGCATGATTCAGCATTTGAAATTTTACCAAATGTTGACCCCTCCGTAGGGATCAATCACGTACCTTAGACTTTTTGCACATTTAGTGTTGGGGGTGTAACCCACGCATTCATTAAGCATAAAGTAGTACATCTCATAGTGTCTCTCAAATCAACCAAGCACAAGGTTTCCATACGGGTCGACATATAAAAAAGAGAGCACATTAGCCGATTCTTGAGTTTTACGGACCGAAACAGACACACATCGTCTTTCTTGAGCTATCCAAATACAACAAAACAGATGATCTAACTTCCACTTGATGAGAACCGAAAGCAGAGACCTTCCCCTTGTTTGACTGCGAAACAAGATGTGAAGAGACTTCATCATTAGCCAATAGCAGAAAAAAAAAATTGAGTAACTTAAGGCATACATACCCTTTGGAGTAGAATTCTAGTGAGAGCCACCATCTCTGGGGCGATCGTATGGAGCACGGCCATGCCTCTCACCTCCACGGCTGCCATCATCCCTGCTACGTCCTCCAGAGCGTTCGCTTCCGCGATCAGGTCCATAGCGATCCCTACCACCACCACTCTCTCTGTCATACCTGTCTTCTTTCGCACCAGACCTGTCATCCTTTGCACTGTACCTATCATCCCTAGAACTGTACCTATCATCCTTTCCACCGTACCTATCATCCCTAGAGCTGTACCTATCATCCTTTCCACCGTACCTATCATCCCTAGAGCTGTACCTTCCACCACCACCACCTCTACCGGATTCATCAGGACACTCCCTAGCAAAATGTCCAGGCTTGCCACATTTAAAGCAATCTCCACCGCCTGAACCTCGCCCACCAGAGGGACGGCTACGGTCACGGCTGCGGTCACCATCATGATCCCTATCCCTGCCAGATCCACCCTGTGGCTGGGCCTTATCAACAGTGATAGTCCGCCCATCTAAATCCATCCCATTCATTGCTGCAATAGCTTCATCCATAGCCTTCTTCTCATCGAAAGTGATGAACCCAAACCCACGGGAACGCCCAGAAAACTTGTCAAGAACAACCTGTCATCAAAAAGACAAGACTAAGGTCGTAAAAACATATAATAGTTCACTCAACTAAACAACTTACTTAGAAGACAGATCCACATCTCAGGTAGCTACTAAAAAGAATAGATAAATGATTTTTTACCTTAGCCTCAAGGAGGTGACCATACTTCTCAAAGGCATCTCTGAGGCCACGATCAGACGTTGCCCACGCAAGTCCACCAATGAAGCAACGGTACTCCACTTCTTCTGACATCTTCTAACTACAACAAGCTGCCAATTTTTTTTTGTCTGAAGAAAATAAATACGACTTCCCAAAAGCTACATTGTAAGTTTAAGTTACTTTTAACAAGGAGCTAAATAAAGAAACTTAGGACAGTAACACTACACACAGACAATGACATGATAGTATGATCTCATTATGACATGTATCTGTGAAGCTAATTTTCAATTGAAATTTTACTAAGGAGCCAAAGAAAGAAACTTAGGACAATGATTCGCGAACCAAACCTAGTCTTGTTCTCTACATAATAACAAAACATTTATCATCATAAACACAGTTACGCACTTACTATATGTATCTACGAAGCTAACTTTCAATTAAAAAAATCTATCCGCAAAACCAACATATCTAAAGTCGTTGCTCTAGAAAGCTCGAATCACTATTGGTAGACGAAGAATGCACCAAATAAACAAGAGAATCACTATTTAAGTAGAAGAAACGAGAAATCATACCAGAGAGAAAGAGCGGCGAAGATATGAGATCTGATTGTGATTTGCTTTCAGAAACCCTAATTCCTGGAAAGCAGAAAAGACGACTCAAAAGTCTTATCGTATTACCATCTCTCGGGGGTAAATCCGTCATTTCACAATCAGTTTACATAATACATACTGGGCTGTCAATCCAACCTAAATGGGCTTTTTTAAATGGTCGGGGTAGTTGCGTCATTTCACAATCAGTTTACAGTCATTGGGCTGTCAATCCAACCTAAATGGGCTTTTTTAAATGGTCGGGGTAGTTGCGTCATTTCACAGTTAGTTTCCAGTCATTGGGCCGTCAATCTTAACGGGCTTTAAATGGGCCTAGGGTTTTAAGAGAGGTTTTAGCAGCCGTCGTCTCCGTCTTCTTCCAGGTCTTTTGAGAAATTAGCGTTTTGAATTGAATTTGGAGGAAAAAAAACAACAAAATGTGGTTTCTATGTGTCTTCTACCACAGACTACTCGACTTCAGAAAGCCAGAGGTCGAAGCATTAGCAGAACTCTTCGGAGAAGAAGATGAGTCTCCTCTCCAATGGCGTCTCCCTGAACACCACCATAACGATACTCCCTTCCACTTCGTCCACCTTTCCTCCGAAGAAATCGCACAAAACATCGCCAAAAGAAGTAAACTTTTTTTTTAAAAAAACTTATATTTCTTCCTTTTATTGTTTCTTACAAGAAATGTGTGTTAGTGTAGGCCTATTGGTGAAAGGAATGTATGAGCTTTGGGGTGAAGGAGCTTCCTACGAAGAGCTTAAAGACTCCATTGAAAGGTTTCCTGATTCTCGCAAGCTCCCGTTTCTTGCTTCTGACTCCACTTTTAGAATCTCTGTGGAAACTTTCGGAAAGGCTTTGACTTTCGATGAGCAGAGGGAGAGAATCGATTCTTTTACTTATGTCCCTTTCAAGGTATGTTTCCCACTTTCCAAAGAAGGAAACTTTCTTGTGTCTATTCCTTCATATGAACACAAGAAAAAACAATTATGCGTTTTATAGAGGATTATTGTTTAGGCCGGTGTTTAGAGTGATTTTTATAACATTTTTTTAAAAGATGGTTTAGAAAATTGTTTGTCTAGGCGTTTTATAGAGGATTATGGTTTAGGCCGGTGCTTAGAGTGATTTTTATAACATTTTTTAAAAATGGTTTAGAAAATTGTTTGTCTAGGCGTTTTACAGGGGATGATTGTTTAGTCGGTGGTTAGAGTGATTTTTATAACATTTTTTTAAAAAAGTGGTTTAGAAAATTGTTGGTCTAGGCGTTTTATAGAGGATTATTGTTTAGTCAGTGCGTAGAGTGATTTTTATAACATTTTTTTAATAAAATGGTTTAGAAAATTGTTCGTCTAAGGGTTTTATAGAGGATTATTGTTTAGGCAGGTGTTTAGACTGATTATTTGAACACCTAAACCGAACTTTGAAAAAATTGATTTACAACATTGTATGAATATTTGGTGATTGAATCATTGCAGGGAAAGGTTAACTTGAAGAACCCTGATCACAACTTCTTTCTCATGGAGATGGATGAATCTGAAGAGAACAATGGACTTCAACCCATTCTACAGAGAAGAATCTTCTTTGGGAGGGAGGTTGGTTTTGCTGATAGGAAGCTGTTACCTACTTTTCAGTTGAAGTCTCGAACTTACCTTGGCCCCACTGCTATGGATGCTGAAATGGCTTTCTTGATGGCTAATCAAGCAAAAGCTGCGTCTGGGAAGCTTGTGTATGATCCTTTTGTTGGTACTGGGAGTATTCTTGTTTCTGCTGCACGTTTTGGTGCAATGACAATGGTTCGTAAACCTCCCTTGGTTTCTTGATACCCTTTTCTTGGATCTGAAACTGATAGAAAGGTTATTGTATTAGGGTGCAGATATTGATATCAGAGTAGTGCGTGATGGACGTGGTCCAGACTGTAATGTTTGGAGCAATTTCAAGCAGGTTTGTGACTTGTGACTTCTTCTGTTATGTTATGTATCTTTGGTTCTTACATCTGTTATCGCTTCTGCAGTATGGGTTACCTACGCCAGTAGCTTTACTTAGAATGGATAATAATCTTCCTCCATGGCGTTCCGGGCTAAAAGAGGTAATATACTCTCTCATTTCTTCATTGTCATCTCTGGGGTTTTGAGTCTTATGTCTTCTTTTATTCATTGGTTTAGATATTTGATGCGATTATATGTGATCCACCTTACGGGGTTCGAGCTGGTGGACGCAAATCTGGTGGCAGGAAAATCCTTAAAGGGACAGTGGATCCTTACACAGTCCCTGAAGACAAAAGAACAGATCACATTCCATCCACTGGTGCATATAGTCTAGTTGAGTGTGTTCATGATCTGCTTCACCTAGCTGCAAGAATGCTTGTGATGAAAGGCAGGCTCGTCTTTTTCTTCCCTGTTTTGAGAGATGAGAATGGTAGTGAGGTTAAGTTTCCTGAGCACCCTTGTTTCAAGTTAGTAGCTGTCTCCGAACAGATATTGAGCTCGAGATACAGTAGGGTTTTGCTAACCATGGTGAAAGTAGAGCCTTATAGTGAAGTGATTGAAGAAGCTGCTCGGCTAATGCATTTAGAGTTTAGGGAGAATCATCTTAAGTGGTTAGAGGAAGGTAATATTCATTCCTCTGTGTTTAAACCTTCTGATACTTCAGAGATTCGTACTGATTCCAAAAGCTTTAAAGATCCTAAACCAAAGTACAGAGGGAAGTATGTGTAAGGATTGAGTTTTGTATTCTTTGTGTTTATATATGCTGAACGCTATAGTTCTGAATGTATTCCCATTTTTCAATACAAGTGAACTTTTAGGGTTATTGGCAAACCACGTATGCAGAAAATACATAACAAAAGAGATTGAAAACATGATTAATTATTAGAATAATCATCAATTTATTTTGGTGTACATAATACTATTATCTTTATTATGCATACAACTCTGTTTTCATTAGGCCAAAGATAAAACATCACACTATAGGATGAGAAGCCACGTGGTAACAAGAAGGCAGAAGACCAGCTTATTGATCCGACATAGTCATGCGTGGCTACAATGGAGAACAAACAGAGCAGGACCATGAGATTCAACTTGAATGGTCACCGAATCTTTCGTTGGTCCAAAGTCTTTACCGCTCCATATCTCGTGGCTCTTACAAGAAGCTCCTTCAAGATGCGTCTTGTTCTGAAGAGCCTTGGCAATGTCTGATATCTTGGCTGATACTGTCGTCTTCACAGGATTTAAGTTGAAAAAAGCGACGTATATTTCTCCTCTTCTTCCCGTAGCAATCCAAGAACGTACACCACTGGAGCTAGCCCCAGCTGCTGCAGAAGATTGGTAATAATAATGTCAACGATTATAAACAAGAGGATGTCACTGTGTTGGTTGTACTAACCTTTCACTGGATTTAACACGGCGCAAAGACCAGAGTAACTGTTTTCTAGTGTTCCGTTACTGTGGAACTCCCACATCTGAAGATTATATCGTGTTGTGTTATATGATATCAAAGTCAGAGAGAGATAGAGAATCATCTATAAGTTCAAGAAATCTCTAGGCGCTCGTATTTAGGCAAGCGCCTAAACCGATTTTTCGAATGCCTAGACCGGTTTTTAGAACACTGGTAATACCTGGTTTGCGTCTAGTTTGCAAGGGGAAAAGGCACCGCGACTATAATCTTTGGAAGTGAGCTTTTGCCTCGAGGAAGCTCCTAAACAAGACACTGCTTTATCATTTGTTTGTAAATGAAGCTTACTTTGATAGAGCTGGTTGTGTTTTATCTCCTCACTGCTGCACCGACATGAAGCAGATTAAATTTGTTAAGGGTTGTTTATGAAATGTAAAAGCGAGTGGAAGAAAGAAAGAAAGGGTCATGTACGAAGATAGAAGAGCTTTTCTGTTGTATAAACAAAAAGGCTTCTCTGGTTTCTCGCTAGAGTATTGGTTCCAACAGATTTTTCCACTGGACTTGTCTACAATGGACCAAGTGTTGGCTTTTGGTTCTTTGCAGCTAATGAGACCAAATGCATGTTTGGTTGGAACTTTATTGCCTATTGGATGATGAGAATTGTGCTTTTTAACAGATACTCTTGCAGCGGTGATGTAAGGAAACTGTAAAACAGCAAACAGTCAGAAGTTTTATGACAGAAGTGAGTTTGAAGACTTAAGTTATGATTCTTCAGACCTCCTTGTTGTTTGAGCTATAAGAATTGATTTCCAGCAGCGTAGGATTAGTGATGAGATTATAAGTAGCGTCATCAAGCTTTCTCACATCACCTCCAAACATGAGAGGGGACTTTGCAATAGACCACAATGTCATCTGAACAATACTAAATGTGGTTTAGAGGATCACTAATAAACTTATAAACTGTGAAAGCTAGCTAGAGGAGCTATACCTGTGTCCTCTGTTCTTCCATAGTAAGATTACACGCTCGATGAGGTCCAAAGTTCGTACCTAAACCAAACATTAAGACATTACTACGTTATATTTGAACCATCTACAGAGTTAACATCTCATGTTTTTTTTAAGCCAAACCTTGATCAGTAAGCCATCCAAGAGGTAACATATCTAAATCAGGCCATGATTTTCCTTGTAGCCCTCCTGCACCGATCATACTAGACGCAGCTAAGTCCCTGGAAGAATAGCATATTACATGACATCAAATAAAGGTAACAACGTGGCAAAAAGGATGATCAGCTAAGTAATGAACCTCGAGATATCGAAATGTGCCACCACATCTTTCCATGTGTCCCAATCATCACCTGTTATTCTGTACATGTTAACCAATTGACTAACTTCTTTAGCCATTATAGGTGTCACACTCGTCCCTGGAGATATAGAGTACAAAACAGGCCGATCAAGCTCCTTCAGAACCTGCCAAATAAAAAAAACAAATTTTCACATCTATGTACATTAAACTCTAACCATAAGATCACAAACGTTTATTTACCTCTGACACAAAAGTTATCTCGTCTATATTCAAGTCATCCCCAAATACGCAGTCATGTTTTACTAAAAAAACAAAACAAGAGTTAGATACTCAGATTCAGACAAGAAAGCTATGTAAAAATGATGCTTATTCTCTTACTGAAATCAACTCCCCATTCAGCGTATTGACGATAGAGTGACCTCAAAAACGCTTTTCCAGCACCTAACTTAGTATTCACACTCATGAACCCATGTGGCATCCACACACAAGCCTTCTCCTTCATCCCAATATCTTTCGCCCTCCACTGTCTACCAGACTCTTCATAAGCACCTCCCTGACCATTAAAAAAAAGAGTAAACAAACCACCAGACAACCTTGATAAAACCACATCACAGATCAAATATGTACCTTGACACTATCCATAACAAGAGTATTTGCGTTATAAGCCTGTGTGCTAATCCCACCCATAACATGAATCCCAAACTTCAAACCCATCCCATGAACTTTCTCAGCAACTTGTGTAAACCCTTTGCCGCCTCTAGAAGAAGGCCAACGAGCAGGATCAGGATGCATCCTTCCCCATTCATCAATCACATCAAACCCAAGAGAGTCCACATAAGCTCCTTTAACTTTTTTGCGATACCAAAGGTAATCCACCACAACATACTGTATGTATCCAAATCCACAGGAATATTAAATAAAAAGAACTTTGACATTGTAATTAAGACAAGAATTAGGCATAATATATCCCACATCATTACTTTAAATATTAAATAAAAGTTACAATTAATCTGTTAATCATCAATTAATTTTAAGTTGGAAATCCATAATAAACCCGACAATAACAACTAAATTTACCTGATAGCCATGAGGGAGAAGACGCTTTGAAATGGTTTCAGCGCTTTGTAAGAACTCAGATTCAGAGATGGTCCAGCAAAAGGAATCGTATGAGTTCCATCCTCTTGGTGGAAAGCTCGCATGTTCGTTGGATCTTGCGTTAATTGATATACTGAAACTCGAGTTAAAATCAGAATCTGAACCGACCCAACAGAGAAAGATTGAAACTTTCGAGATGGGTGAGGATTAAAAAGGGAAAGGTTTGAGTTTACCTTCTATAAATGGAAAGATTGAGGAGGAGGAAGAAGAGGGTGTGTCGGATCATAGCGATCTTTGATGATGAAGAGAACCTGATCAGAGAGACGATAGAACACGATATTTGTCGTTAATGGCCCCCTCACAAAAGTTAAAAAGCTCTTTTAACGGATTAGATTAGTAACCGTTGAAGTGTCACAAAGACCTATTTTCATAAAAAAGTACTTTCGACTTTTGTTCTAACATTCTGTTTTCAGATATTTTAGTAAGTCTTTACATGTGTTAAGAAAAGTTGATAAGGTTGATAATGACACTGCCACTACCACAGCCACTCCCATCCACGCCTGATTAATGCATTACTTAACTGCTTTCCTCAAAACATGTAAGAGATGTGCACCTGAGAGACAGATGACAAAAAAAGACACATGCATGATCTAGGTTTAAGGTAAGTTGTACGAGTGTCAGAAAGTCGTTAAACATAGACTTTACATTTCTACATTGAATCTCAAAACCATCAGAGGATCAAAAGTAATCTTTGTATCTATTTTTCCTTCACTAGGAAACTCTACATAATATCAAAATGATTACAAATCCATGGTGTGAGAGGATACTCTCAGAGATCGTAGTTAGGGAAAGTTTCTTCAGGCAAACCAGTCCGTATATGATTAGTAACAAACTACATCTTCCACAAAAGTTGCCCAAATGATTTCGACATTAACCCTTTATCCAGTTTTATTAATTTCTGGCGATGACCCATTAACTGCGTGCTACAATGATCAGTTTTGCAAAGTTTCCTCCGTGTGTCATCCAAACATGTAACAAGTCTGCATATTACTAAGAAATCTAGAGTATTCAGACTTGTTACATGTTTACTAAAGTTTTTTAGTTTTTATTATAAAGATATACATTGAAGCAAACTTATTTAGTAAAATAAGTTATATTTTAAGAAAAATATAGACATGGATATAGAAGTGGATTTGAGAATGTTCGTGCTATGTGAAAGGCTGCCACTAGCACTGTATCCAAGCTTGTTTTAAAAGGATTTGTATGTTCAGCTTAAAAGTTCAACACACTCTAGCTTAGTCAGAGGTATAAGGTATTATATATTTACAAATACATCCTCCTATTTTATTATAACTACTTGTATAACCCCTACATTATCTGCTTAATCACATTTCCCCCATCCCTAGCTTATTTCATTTTTAAACCTAGTCAATCTCCAATCTCTCCGGCGAGATTCCGACCAACGAAGTGACAAGTAAGTCGAACTCAGATCCGTTTGGTTTTCTTCTCTCTCCCTCCTCATAATCTCGAAACTCTGTTTCTTCGCAGAAAAGATAACATTTTATTCTTCTCGAGAAGATGAACACGATAGCGAAGCGAGTCACGGGCCTTCTGACTCGGCCGAGTCACAACCAGATGCAACAGCAGGAGAGAGGGATAAGGGTGAAGGTGTTCTCAGGGGATCTAGACAAGGCGCTGACGATACTGCAGAGGAAGATGCAGTCGAGTGGGATGGAGAGGCTGATAAAAGCGCAGCAGACGCATCACATCAAGAACTCGGAGAAGAAGGTTCTCGCTAGGAAGAATCTTGAACGGAAGATCAAATCCATTGACTTTGCTCGCAAGTTACAGTCTATCCTCATCAAGAAAGTCAGGTATGGGGGAGTTTTATGGGTTTTTGTTTTAAAGGTTTTTGCTTTGGTTTTGAATGAGTTATGGTATGAGACAAAGGTTGAGACTTTAGTAAAGAACATAGAGTTTAGGTTTTTGGGTTTGGTTTGAATGATTTGGGTATGAGAAAAAGCTTGAGACTTTAGTGAAGATGCTACATAAACAGTCACTCTAGGATCTGTGCTTGGGCCATTGTTTTAGAATAAGCTTAATGGTTGCTCTGTCTGTTTAGTGTGAGTTATCTGGAATCATTTGCTCATATTTGATCTGCTTATGAAATGTTTTAGGGTTTGGTTTGAATGATTTGGGTATGATAAAAAGCTTGAGACTTTAGTAAAGATGCTACAAGGACATAGACTTTAGGTTCTTTTTTTTTGACCAAGCTTAATGGTTGTTCTGTTTGGTTGGTGAGTTATGTGGAATCATGTACTCATATTTGATCTGCTTTTGAAATGTTTTAGGGTTTGGTTTGAATGAGTTAGGTATGAGAAAAAATAGAGACTTTAGTAAAGATGCTACATAAACAGTCACTCTAGGATCTGTGCTTGGGCCATTGTTTTAGAATAAGCTTAATGGTTGCTCTGTTTGTTTAGTATGAGTTATCTGGAATCAGGTAATGACAGCTGATCTGCCTATGACATGTTTTAGGGTTGGTTTGAATGATATGGGTATGAGAAAAAGCTTGAGACTTTAGTAAAGATGCTACAAGAACATAGACTTTAGGTTCTGCTTTTTGACCGTTGTTGCAGAATAAGGTTTAATGGTTGCTCTGTTTGGTTGGTGAGATGTCTGGAATCATGTACTCATATTTGATCTGCTTATGAAATGTTATATTGTTGGTTTTGAATGAATTAGGTATGAGAAAAAGCTTGAGACTTTAGTAAAGATGCTACAAGAGCATAGACTTTAGGTTCTGCTTTTGGACCATTGTTGTAGAATAAGCTTAATGGTTGCTCTGTTTGGTTTGTGTTAGTTATCTGGAATAATGTACTATCTTTTTTGTGAAATGTTTTAGGCTTGGTTTTGAATGATTTAGGTATGAGAAAAAGCTTGAGACTTTAGCGAAGATGGACTTAAGGTTCTGTTTTAGGACCATTGTTGCAGAATAAGCTTAATGGTGGTTCTGTTTAGTTTGTGTGAGTTATCTAGAATCATGTACTCACAGTTGATCTGCTTATGAAATGTTTTAGGGTTGGTTTTGAATGAATTAGGTATGAGAAAAAGCTCGAGACTTTAGTAAAGATGCTACAAGAACATAGACTCTCAGATCTGTTCTTGGACCGTTGTTGTAGAATAAGCTTTGTGTTTATGTAATAAGATTTGACATATTTGTAATGGTTCGTCTCGTGTTATTTTTTTTGCAGAGGTTTATGAGAGCTGAGCTGTGCTGCAATAACCATTCATCATCTTTCTTTTGCATTACATTTCCGGAGGAACGAGTGTTGATCAGTACTAGTATATGTGATATATAACACTTGTGATCCAGTTTTTTTTTTCTCTTTCATTTTGGACTTTTTGGTGAATGGAAAATTTGGTATAATCTCGGATTACCGTTAGTTGTTTACTCTATGAATATAGGCTTCTTCTCCATAATCATTAGGAAAAACTTCAGAATCAAGAAAGCATAGTAGTAGTATATGAGCATCTCTCCTTGTATTCTGTTCCAGCCATTATTCATGCTGAAGAAGGCACAGTATTGATCAACCATCGCCAAAGCCATGATAGTTCAGTAAAGTGGTACGCAACGCCTCTTTTCTGAAACATTTTATAAATTGAGGATTCTTAAACTGCCGAATCTTGATACATTAGCAGGCATTAATCAGTATAGACAATTTTTTAGTGTGGGGTTGCTTTGAGATGTTTCTAATTGTCTGTTTAGAAAAGCTCTCATTTTCTAAGATATACATACATAAGAAAATATCAAGTCTATACTCTAGTAAAATTGTGAGTTCTACCTATCTCCATTGGATAAAAGAAAAAAAAGCAATGAGCTAATTAATTACAAGAAACTTATTATAAAATGAAATAAAAAAGTGAGAGAATGTTAGGTTTAATAATCTTTCTTTGTGTTTTGTTTAGTGCAAAGGACAAAGAATCTACAAAAAGATTACTTGCTTGGGGTGTATTAGTTTCATTCTTTATGTTGGAGATATTAATTCCAACAACAAGAATCCGTACTTGAACTTCTCATCAAGTTATCATCTCTCTCTCACCAATTTTAGAAACTGGAAACTGTTGAAATCTCCCTCCTCTCTCACACACACTTCTTACATTCAGTTTCCTTTTGATGCTCTCTTTACCTCCTTCCTCTAAATGTCTCACCATCATCACCATGAAACCAACCCTCATTTCGCACGCCTTCCATCGCAGAATCAACCTCCCAAAGGTGGTGCCTCTACCTCACAATCTCACCCAAAAACACCACCAGGAATCCTAATCAAGCCTCGTGACCGCCACCGTAAAAGTCCTACTCCTATCCCCCAACCACTTCCTTCAGAAATACCTTTACCACTAAGCCCTGAAGAGAGACTACCACCAAGAAAAACTTCAAACTCTGCCAAAATACCATTACTATCAACCCCTCAAGACAAACCACCACCAAAAAAACCTCCAAAATCTTCAAAAAAACCGTTACTAATAAGCCCTGAAGGTCATCATCATCAAGAACAACAACAAAGATCTCCACCACCACAACAACCACCACCACGAAGCTCCCCTGGAGGTTACACAACAACACTACCTCCAATAGCCAAACCAACTCCATGGAGAAACACTCCAACACCATCACCTCATCGCCGCAGAGGCCAACAGGCCCCACCTCCTTCAAGAGACCAAACAAACGCAATGACTTGGTCAGCTGCATTTTGCTGTGTAATCTTCTGGATCATTCTCATTCTCGGCGGTCTCATCGTCCTCATCGTCTACCTAGTGTACCGTCCACGCTCTCCTCACATAGACATCTCATCAGCCAACTTAAACGCTGCTTACCTCGACATGGGGTTCCTCCTCAACGGAGACCTAACCCTTTTAGCAAACTTCACAAACCCAAACAAGAAAAGCAGCGTTGAGTTTAACTACTTAACATTCGATCTTTACTATTACAACACTCTTATAGCGACTTCATACGTTCAGCCTTTCAAGATACCTAAGAAGATGTCCATGTTTGTTTACGTTCATCTCGTGAGCAGTCAAGTTAGGCTCCAGCAAGAGCAGAGCAGAGAGCTGCAGCGTCAGATTGAGACCGGTCCGGTTTTGTTGAACCTGAGAGGAACGTTTCATGCACGTTCCAACTTAGGGGCGTTGTTTAGGTACTCGTATCGGTTGCATACTCATTGTAGCTTTTCTTTGAATAGTCCTCCTTCTGGAACTATGCGAGCTAGAAGATGCAGTACCAAACGCTAACGTATTGCGATTGTGTTTGCGCCATTTTTTTTTTATCAACACCTTTAGGAATAATTAATTTTCTGTACTCATTGATGCTTAAATCATTTGATTTTATATGCGTTACTAGTTTATGCAAAGTATAGAACTAATTTTCTAAAATTTAAGAGATTGTTTTAAGGCTTTCTAACTTTATAGATGTTACACGAGAGGAAAAGAATAATACCCACAAATTAATGTTTTGCTTGTAACGTTAATTGATGTTAAAACCTTTGACTTGTGCTAGTAATTACATGCATATCAAAAATAAATAAAAAAAGGTATGTGAGATTCTTTTGTCCAACGAAACAAAAATAAAAAATAAAAAATAAATAAACAATGCCTTGAGACACCATTGACATTCAGTATGTAGACGTGTTCATGAAGTCATAAACAATGTTTTGTAATATAATAGCAAGTGCACCATGTCTGGTTGGATTAATAAGAAACAGAAAAAAAAAACACAAGACATATTTATATATATGTACTTTATTTCGGTACAATTGGTTATACATTTTTATTTTGTAATTTCATGAAGAACAACACACATTACATATTTACATACATATAGTTTGTAACTTTGAAGCGATCATCAATGTTCTCAACACTTAACAGGAACAAGAAGAAGGTCATGTTTCATGCCCACAGTGAGTCCAGGAGATTCTTCCATGTCCATATCTTCGACCACCATCTCTTCTGGTAATTTCCAATCAAACTGAAACAACATATATGCCAGACCAAACTCCACCATTGTTGTCCCCATGTACATTCTAGAACATATTCTCCGACCACTTCCAAATGGTAACAGCTCAAAGTTCTGTCCCTTTGCATCAATGTTATTGTCCATCAATGTTCATCGATCGACATCTAATCTCCAAAGTTAATGCTTTCAGTAGCAACGGCCGATGCAAGTTCGGATGAAAGTTGTATCTGACTGATAAGTGATGAATCTGTGAAGTACACGTTTTCAGTCGGTATGAAATCATTGATAAGGATTTCTTCGTCTACTCTTATCCGGGAAAGATGATCTGCGACACCATTGTCTACTCCCCTCTTATCTTTTATTTCCATATCGAATTCTTGGAGAAGGAGTATTCATCGGATAAGCCGTGGTTTCGCATCTTTCTTTTTCATAAGATATTTAATAGCTGCATGATCAGTGTGAACAATGACCTTTGAGCCCACTAGATAGTTACAGAATTTTTCGAAAGCGTATACTACTGCAAGTAGTTCTTTCTCAGTTGTTCCATAGTTTCTCTGAGCTTCGTCCAGAGTTCGGCTGGCGTAAAACCGCGCCTACAGCGAAATCGCTCGCATCACACATTATTTCGAATGGAAGACTCCAGTCAGGTGCTTGTACAACGTGGGCAGTTATTAGTGCTTTCTTGATCTTTTCAAATGCTTGTTGGCATTCTGGTGTAAAATCAAATTTAGTGTCCTTGCAAAGGAGGATAGTCAGGGGTCTGACTATCTTGCTGAAATCCTCTATAAATCTCCTATAAAATCCAGCATGTCATAGAATGCTTCTGATGTCTCTTATGTTATTCGGGGGACGTAGACTCGTCATCACCTCTATCTTTGCTCTGTCTACTTCAATTCCGGCTGCGGACACTTTGTGTCCGAGTACGATTTTGTCATTAATCATGAAATGGCATTTTTCCCAGTTTGGGACTAGATTCTTTTCCTCACATCTCTCCAAGACCTTGCATAGGTTGTGGAGACAATTTTTAAAACTTGATCCATAAACTAAGAAATCATCCATGAATACTTCCATGAAGTTTTCTATCATATCAGTGAAGATTGACATCATGCAGCGTTGGAAAGTAGCTGGCGCGTTACACAGACCAAATGGCATCCTCCGATATGCGAAGGTTCCATAGGGACATAAGAATGTTGTCTTTTATTGATCATCCGGATGTATCGGTATTTGGAAAAATCCGGAATATCCATCAAGAAAAAAATAGTATTGGTGATTTTCTAATCTTTCCAACATTTGGTCAATAAAAGGTAGAGGAAAGTGATCTTTCCGGATTGCGGAATTGAGCTTCCTATAATCGATACACATGCGGTGTCCGGTCACAGTCCTTGTTGGGATAAGCTCATCTTTTCCGTTCTTGACGACTGTAATACCTCCCTTTTTGGGTACTACGTGGACTGATATCTCTTATTTTTATAGGTTTTAGTATCCTATTTTTGTTCATATTGATTAATTAGATTGCATATTAGGTGCATTTATTACATTTACATTGCATAATTTCATTTAACAGGGTCTAAATTGCACATTATGGAAGTTTTGGGCGAAATTGAAAGGTCATCCTTGCAATTTACAGAGTTTGTGACCAATTTGAAAGGCATCAAAGAGTTCAGGAACCAATGTTGCGATTCTGGAATACTTTCTGGTTGAAATTGCACAAGAGAAAGTACAGGGGTTGATTTGAGAGGCCTTTCTTGCACATTCTAAAGTCTTGGGCTTTATTGTAAACAAGACGAACTTGAGGACCTGTTTTGCAAATAATGGAAAAATCACCATTGGAGTCTTCGATCTGCTTCACGCCGGATCTGGATGGCGACGGCGAACCCACTGGCTCACGACGCGAGCCCACCACGGCCTTGAGACTTGAGCACGACGAGGATTGGAGTTTGTACGGCTGTGGACCATGGCGAAGGACCCGACAGCGAAGGAGATCCATGGAGGAGCTCGGCCACGAGGGAGATGCGGAGTAACTGTAAGGATTAGTTTCAGTGATCACGCCTTGATCAACACCTCAACCACTTGCACAAATACAATAAGTAAATGACACAAGCGATTTAACGAGTTCCCAGCCTCAAACTGGTACGTCTCGTGGGAGAACTGTTGCTCCCAAACTTCACTATGATCAAGAAGTTACAATAGCCTAATCACTTATAACTCGTGATAGGCTTTAGGTTACAACACACTTTGTGTACAACCTCTATAAGAACTCAAGACTACAAAGGGAAAACCTTTTGCTAGAACAAAGTAGTTTACTCTTGCTATAACCCTAACGTCTTGTCTTGATTCTCTTCTGCAGCTTCCGCGTAACACAACCTGATTCTCTGATGCTGAATATATACCTGACGCCTTGAGAGTTATCCAACAATGACTTCTACGGAGATGTGTTTATCCATCAGCTGACTGGGCTTCAACATAACTCTGAGCCCGTTTAAGATATGTATATATATTGTCTTGGGCCAAAAACTCAACAAATCTCCACCTGTTTTGCTCAAGCCCAATATACTCCCAAAAAAACACACCTTATCCTTCTTGTCTTCTTCGTGAAGAGTAATCACCGACAGCCACAAACAACTCAACTCTAAAACATCGAGTTTCAGATCCGAATCACTTCCAACATTTCACTCGTTCCTCCGAGGTAAGTCTCAGATGCGTTTCGAACCACATCTCAAACTCTGAAAGTAACTTGAGTCTCTGCTCCGAATTTTTCTTTGTTTGCATGTATTCAGACTTCTCCGGTTTGAGTTTCTTCAACAAGCTCCACCTCGTCCGATATACCTGTCTCCGGTGATGCGCCTTCTTTGGCCTGTTCAGACTTTTGGTGTCTGAGATTTTTTCCTGCGGTATTAAGGTAACTCAACTCGACTTTTTCTTTGTTGTAGCAGTAACTGTACTCTTGGATAATCTGATTTCAAGACATCATCTTTCCACTGAAGCATGACTGTTTGATCTCAGATTGATGTCAACAGAGCTCCACATTTTCCTTTGCTTGCTCCTTGACAATTTCCATAGTAAGTAGTACCTTTCTCATCGCCTTTTGTTGACAATTTGTTCTATGAACCGAATAAATGTCGTCTTGAAGTCAACACTGATTTCTTGTGTAGATGCTCCACCTGGAGTACGTGTGTGTTAAGACGCCTCCATCTCTTTCTCCAGGTAACTTCTTTTTCAAACACTTTGAATGATATCCCATGTTATCTCAGACTGATCCTCTTGCATGTTCCTTGGACTCTTTTGCGAGGCATATGATTTCACTCTGGAGTTACCTGGGTTGTTCTTCCTTCACCTACTGGACGTTGAGAAGCTCACAACAGAGCTGGAACTTCGGACCAGGTACGGTTTTAGTTAGGAAATCTGCAGGATTTTTCGTAGTATGTATCTTCTGTAGGATGACATCTCCTGACTCAACTAGATCTCGTATGAAATGGAACTTAGTGTCGATCTGTTTAGTCCTTTCGTGGTACACTGGATTTCTTGCTAGGGCTATAGCACTTTGAGAGTCACAATGAATTGTTGCATTTCTTTGTTTAAATCCTAGCTCGTTGCATAAGCCCCTTAACCACATGCTTTCCTTAGCTGCTTCATGTAGAGCCATATACTCTGCCTCGGTGGTTGATAGAGCAACTACCGACTGAAGGCATGATTTCCAAGATACCGTGTTTCCTCCTATCTTGAAAACGTATCCAGTTACTGACCTTCTCCTATCTCGATCTGTAACATAGTCAGAGTCAGAGAAGCCTTCTATTATGAACTTAGAATCCTTCTTGAATGTTAGATTAAGTTTCGATGCTCCTTGTAGGTACTTCAAAACCCACTTGACTGCTGACCAATGCTCTCTGCTTGGTTTGCTCATGAATCTGCTCAAAAATCCCACTGCAAACCCCAAGTCTGGCCTGGACCCTACCATCGCATACATTAGACTCCCTACTGCGCTTGCATATGGGATGTCTTCCATGTATTGCTCTTCCCTTTTCCATTCCTCATCTGTTAAGCTTCTTAGACTGAACTGAGCTGATGTAGGCGTAGTGACTGACTTTGCATTTTGCATTCCAAACGTCTTTAACACTTTTTCAATATATCTTCCCTGAGATAGGATCAATGTACCTTCCTTTCTATTTCTCGTGATGTCCATACCCAAAATTCTTGAAGCCTTGCCTAGATCCTTCATCTCAAACTCACTGCTTAATCTGTCTTTTACTTCCTGAATTATCTTTTTATTCCCCGAAGCTATCAACATATCATCAACATAAAGTAGTAGATATACTGCTTTATCGGTTTGAGTGTCCCTGAAGTAGACACACGGATCCCTGCTGCTTTTCTCAAACAGTTGGTGTTTCATGAAACTGTTGAAACGCTGATTCCACCTCCTAGGTGACTGTTTTAATCCGTATAGAGATTTCCTGAGCAAGCAGACTTTATTCTCATCTCCTGGC